AGAAATTAGAAAAATTATTACAGAAATAAACATGATCAGGAATGCACACCCACGATCCCGCCTCGCGAAATTCGAACCCAGTACATATGGATCTCGTGCGTGAACGCTTAACATCTAGAACACTGAACCAGCATCCAATGGTGTTAATGTCTAACTTCAGCATATGCTTAATAGTGACTGGTTTCAAGTGGTATTTCCTGGAGTCCTAGTGAGAAGCAGTGACTAATGGAGTTCAACCAGGTCTGGTTTGAGATAGTAACTCGCTGAAAACAATGGTGGACGGTGGCGCAATTTCGTAGATTAGTTGAACCTCATAAGGCGGGATCGTGGATTGCATTTCTACGTTGTCCTACTATAGGACAGAATGGCTATCGAATGCTTCCAGGTTTTCCATGTTGGTCTAGATTCAATTGACTCATTATCCCAACTATTGGAATTATCAGAATTGTTTAACTGCCGTTATCAAACCCTACATTATAGGGAGGCAAGTTGAAATAGTTTCGATTGTTCAATGGTTGATAACTGTTGCTTTGCTATTTAATTGAAGCATGATATTGATTTTTCGATCATTTGCACTAAACTCTGATTACTATTGTTTCTTTTTTTCAAGTCGCTGACCGTTTTAAGTATTTAAACTTCTATAGTTTAGGTCAGGAAGTTCGTTAGGTGATCCACTTCTGAAAACCAAGAGGCGATAGAGGGCTATTTCGTTGTAGCATGGGACTGCTTAGCAGTGCCCATCTACGGATTGGTCAAAGAGGATTTGGGACCAGGACTTTCAGTTTCCTCATGAACGTGTAATCTTTAGACCTATGAGGTGGCATTTGAACTCTAGGTACTGTATCTTGAAGTCAGTCACTAGTGGGAATATGATGATTACTAGCATGGAGAGATTGGTGGACTTTGTAGGATTTCCTTACCTTAAATCATGGACTGATTTTATTTAAACTTCTTTCTAAGTAGTCATAGATACTGTTATAAGTAATAGTGTAGAAGATTGGTCAATTTGTAGTCTATATAACAGGTTGGTTGTAGCTAGACAACCATGGAGAACTATGATCCATCGTTTCATCCTAGTATGGGACTTTTTAACAGCTCGCATTCTGCAACGTTATCAGGGATCGAGCACTAAACCTTTTAATCTCATAGAGTCTGTTGTCTGTCGAGCTACTAAGATGATGTTCTTTAATTAACTCTCATGGATTCTATTAAATTTTAGATATGTATTATCAATGACAGTTAATCATTTACACTTCAAATGACGGAATGATCAAAGTGTGATATTTTGATCTTTAGGTCGTTGAAACATTGATTTATGAAATCTTATATATAAAAATTTGTAAAGTATTAAACTATAATGAAATTGTTATCTAATTTCTTTTTGATTTGTGATCTTTCCTCTTTTTTTAAAAAAATAAAATTTATGTGTATATTACATAATATTACATTTCAAAATCCTATGACTAACAAATTACATATACCAATAGACCATTAACACATATTTCGTAATAGTTGAATTAATGAGTCGATGTAAGCTAGACCACCATGGAAAACCCGGAAGTACTGGACGACCGTTTCGTCCTAGTATGGGAATCCTGAACAGTGCGTATCCATGATCCCACAGCAAAGAGACTCTAACCCAGGACCTTCGATCTCACACGTGAACACAACTTCTTGACCACTGAGCCGGCATCCAACGGTTTTGATGTCTAACTTCAACCAACACATGATATTGAGTGACAGTCCATCATTGTCTTCAGTGAGTAACTACCTCACAAATCATTTTTATATCGATTAAATATTAAGTTGAAGTAACCATTTTACTTAAGCTAACATACACTTGATTTTCGATTGTAAAGTCTTTTAATTAAGAATATAACACTATTGTAGTTTCATGAAGTTGTTAGCTGAGTATTTTATAACAGCCTTGGAATGCAGTCATTTTACTGGCTAGTGACTGAAAAAAAACTATCCAAATATTTTAACTTAAAGTCTATACTTTTAAACCTACATGATTTTAGCTGTCAATACTTCTTACTACGCTTATCAATTGAATCTGTAAAGACATTTGAAGATTTAAGTTTCCAACCTGATTAAATTAAACATCTAACCATTTTATATAAATCGCTTTCTGAACTTTAATTTCATTGAGCTTTGTCCGATTTTAAACAAAACGATCTGATGTGACAAAGTCAAAATTATTCTTTTTCATATGTTGGTCGTGTGAAATAAACAAGCCTAGGTAATCTGTAGACTGTTGTATGAGATTCTATTCTTTTTTTCAGTACTTTTACACTTACTTAAGTGTTTTAGCAATATTAGATAATAGAATATTTTATTGCTCTTTCATAAGTTCCACGGAGAAGTAACTGCTTCAAGGTTTAACTGATAAGATTGCTTTTTTTTCAAAGTCATTAAGTTGTATATGAAGAGTAATTGGAAATTCCTATTTCTTATCCTGTCAATTCAGTACTTTGGTCCACCATTTTGAGAAACGTTTTGTTATTTTCGTCTTATTACTCATGAGTAGCTAAACGTTTTATTAAACAAAATGACATGGCTAGTGTTCAGTTAAAGTAGAACTATATTCGAAAGATAATCAATAACTGTTCTTATAAAGTTCTTTCTTGGTTCACTTTACTGCTTAATTAATCATGTGTCATTTGTATGGGACACTAAAGCATCTCAAAAATGACAAAACCATTGATGCAATGGTTACCGTAATATGTTTACATGATTTACATGATTCACTTGAAAGGTGAATGCTTATAAGCCATAGGATTCGTAAATAATCACCTGATATTTGACTGATAGCCCTATTTCGTGTGTGAGGTCTTGTGATACCCAAGTTAGGTTTTGGGCCTAAAACCTTTTGATTGAAAGTCGAACACTTATGATATTAATCCAGCATTCTGGAAACCGTTCGCATCAATTAGCAGTATTATTTAAATCGCGGATCGATCAATGTTAGACAACCACTGGAAACTTAGAATCGGGGGATGGCTATTTCGTCTCAACATGGGATTCCTCAAAGGTGAGTGTCCACAACCCCTTATGCAGAAATCGAACCCAATACCGTCGGTCTCGTTCATGAACGTCCAACCTCTGGAGCACTGAGTTGGCATCCATTGATGTTCGAGTACAACGTTAATCGGTCCACGATAGTGCACAATTATCTCCTAATGTATTTGGTGGGAGCTTTCCTCACATGCGATACAGTTTAGCTCAACTGGTAGCGTGCTATCTTGGAGTGATTGAATTTATAATAGAAACCATTAGATGCCCCCTCAGTAGTTTGGAGTTTAAACGCTTACATACAAGGCTGAAAGTCATGGGTTCGGTTACCGCTTGCGGAGTCGTAGATGTGCACCTCTAAACGGTCCTACAATACGATGGGATATCAGTCCAGTCCTTCTAGGTTTTCAATAGTGGTTTGGCATTGATCGATTTGTGGTTTCAACGCAATTTAACAATCTCCACAGACAAATTTTGTATTTGTCTATACAGAACAACTTTTAAATGGACAGGTTATCAAACAGAATAGTTTATTGTTGTAATCATAAGTGAAAGATCCGTATCATAAAAATTATTATTACTATTATTATCGCTACCATATCTGAAAACTTTTGAATGTTAATTGACTGAAGAAGTTATATGGAACAACTTTACGCAATACAAGTAAGAAGACTCAAATTTAAAAAGTATCTCGGAATTTTCAAGATTAGTAAATTGGTCTTTCCTTCACTAACATTGTCGACACATGTAGTCGTTATCCACCTCGGATACCGCATTTTGTTTGGTAAGGGAGATTTCAGTCTCATTATAGCTACATGATTTAATGTTATGCCTGTTGAGATTTATCAGTAGTGAGTATACAATTACAAAGGCTCAAACTCTTGTCACATACATATACCATTTGACATAGTAGTATCAAGCTTTTTGATTAACAGAAATTCATATTTTCACCTACATCAAGGGCATATATAAACCATGGTGATAATAGCTAAAAAGTAAGAGGCTTACATATAAGGTTTTTTAAACGTATATCTCTAAACATCTAATGAAACGATTCTTATAATCGCTTATTAATTTATCTGGTTGTTTTCGTCAGTAACTTAATGAAGCTCATAAGTAGAGTGAAAACAAAATTGAAGGTCTTAATTAAGCTGACTACTACTTTACCACTTCACAAAACAACTGTGACTATGTTGGAATTAATTGTATAGTAGGTTTTAATTTAATAGAAGCATAAATGTCATCTAATCAACTTCATGTTCAGTGGTCATGACTATACTCTATTAACAAATTATTTAGTTATCATTATAATTCTCTTTATGCAATTATATATCATTCAAAAGATTTAATGGGTCTGCATTGATAGGGTGATTAAAATCACTGTAATAAGGAATATTTGCTCTAATACTGTGAAAACTACTTACGATGATGTGTAAACGTAAAATTTAGCTATCAGTCTTGAAGAATAGGTCAAAATGCTATAATAGAATGGATGGAGTGTGATTAGCAATCGAATCCAGGACACACGTTTAGTTCTGTTTGAGTCTCGTCGGCTACATATACGTCCATCCTAGAGTTGATGTTCACTTCGGAACTCAAACCCAGTAACAAATGGTGCTGAGTCCAAATCCCGGAATAAACATTGACACTTCTTTGCAGGTACATCTAGCTGACGAGTCTCAAATAGAACGAAACACGTGTTGTGCATTCCACTGTTAGTCACATTACATCTATTCTATATTAACTTATGTTATAGTGGCTATATCGAAGCAATCCTCAATGAATGCCCATATACCAACCAAGACTGATCAAATTTTAGACAAATTACCAACAACTGGATTATTCAAAGCATTTTAAATTGAGCTAAGAAGTTGTTAATTTGTGATAATATTTCATTTCTTTTGAAAATTTAGTTGCATATACTCAACAATTCAATCATTATTAACTTATTTATATTCCTTTTTTTTTAATTTTCTGTTTTACAGCTATACCCTACAATGTGTTTTGCCAATTAATAATTTCACAGAGAAAATCTACGTATTTCTATGGTTTTGGTTTGCAATACTTGGTTTATTAACTACATTGAATACATTACAATGGGCATTAAATACAATATTACCATCACGTCGTGTACGATATATTAAACAATATTTAAAAGCATTAAGACTTATATCTAGTACAGAAGAACGTGATTGTGCACGTTTTGTAAATAATAATTTAGGCGCTGATGGTGTATTTATACTTCATGTTGTTTCAAAAATAGCTAGTGATCTTATTGCATTAGATGTAACAGCAACATTATGGAAAAATTATCGACAAGCTAAAATTACAGGAACAGAAGAAGATGTTAATCGATTACTTGAAACAGTGAATCGTGGTTCTTCTGTTGTCTGACCATAATGTGGACGTCGATTTGTTGAATTAATATCATAGACATCAATTTGAAAAAATCAATGAATCAATATTATCATTATTGAGGAAAAAAACAAACAAAAGTGAACATATACCTGAACACACGTACATACATATGTTTATCAAAAAAAAAAACAATTCAAGTTTATTAATCTCAGTACTCATTAGATCGGCGTCCACATTTAAAAATAAATAAACAAATGTAACTCCAAATAACATTTTGATTATATCTGTCTTTCCTAATTCATAGTTTATTACTAATAGAATTATACTACTTATTAATGTAATATGTAGTATATATATATATATATTGAATATTTTTTGAGTAATCCATGAGATTTATTTACAAAATCGACTACAGATTTTCAAAATATTAATATATATATATATATGAGGACCAAATTCAAACCCCCTCTCAATTCATGCTTATATATATATACATATATATATATAACCACTTGAAACACTGATCTATTCAACACTGTTAATTAGTAATTTTTAATCTTTCAGAATTCATATTTTTCAACAACAACAAATAACAACTAATGGTTTCTTCATCTCTATCACATTTTGAATGTTTCCATATTATCTATTAAAAGTAACTAAGTGGATACATGGATTAGAAAAAAAAATAAACAATATAACTGAACTTTTAATTAAATTTTATGTAAGTAGAAGTTATTTACAAAATAGATTTATTGAAAAAAAAATAGAATTCAAAAAGATTGATAGGTAGACAGACAGGTAACCAGTCAGACAGATAGATAGACAGACAGTTAGATAGATAGATTGATAGACAGATAGAAAAATGAACAGATTAACAATAGAAACAGATTAGTATATGAGCAGATCAATAGAAATGGCAAAAAAAGGAAATGAACACACACACACACACACAGAGAAAGAGAGGGAGGCAGAAAAAAGTTACACAATAAAGTGGAATGAAATCTGATTTAACTTTTTTTTATACTTTTCTTTCTTCTGTCCTTATTTCTTGATTTTTGTTTACATTTTATTTTATCAATAATTTTTTTTCTCTCCTTTTTGATCTGCTGTACAGAAAAATGGAGACCACTTGTAATAAAAATGTTTTGCTTTTCAAAAAACGGATCATTCTTATATCATTATTATTATGACCTTACACAATATACATTATCTCTTACTTCCTCTTTTATTAGTTTGTTTGTTTATTTGTTTTTTCTCCTTGTTATTTATTGTTTGTTTTTATTAGAATAATGAAATTGGAAATGATTAATTTTATATTCTATGTAGTATATAATCATATATATATGTCCATATATGTACATGTATTCCTTCTCTCTCTCTCTCTCTCCCATGTATGTACTAATGATTTAGTTAATATTCAAATTCTTTTTTGTTTTTGTTTGAAAATTCAATGTGATAAACAAAAGATCATAATCACATATTGAAGAGTTTCTAATATCATCGCCACAATTACACCACCACCAACAACAACAATGGCATAGATATTAGAGATTGTTTTCTTATAACAGTTCAGAATTATAATGAATAAGATGAAAGATAATATTAACAGAAAGTATTCACTCGTATACACATTATTGATAAATAAGAAAATGAAAGTTTAGCTGTGGATTTTGTCATGTTGATATTCATTTTCCCCACTTCTTATCATCCTTTGTTTTTTTTAATATTATCTCTTATTCCTCATGTACAAATTGTTCTTGTTTAAATGGTAAGATGTGTATGTGTGTGATTATGAAGTGTTAAGTATTTCAGATTGTGTCTGTCCGTCTGTCCGTCCGTCCGTCCGTCTGTCTGTCTGTCTGTCTATCTATCTATCTATTTGAGTCTGTGGCTGTGTACATATGTGTCTGTATGAAATGATCATATTAATATTATTATATCATTAAACCAACACTTACATATAAACAGATCAAATCAAATACTCACCTTTACTTTCATACATACCTTCCTAATTACCGATATGATTATTGTCTATGAATGTTATCTATTTCTCTCTTCATATTGAATAATGAGTTGTTTTTTTTCACACTAAGGTTGTGTAGGGAAGAAAAAGGAAATAATTCTTTTTCCGTAAATTTTTACATATATTACTTACTTTCCTTTAGATATTACTCTCAAGTTATTATATACATATATACATATATACATATATATATATTTAGAAACGTTTTTATAAACTGAAGATAAAAAAATCCACATTCCAAATGATCATATTTCATAACTAAAAATAAGTGTGTTGTGAGAATTAGTTCAGATGTACACACAGGCACACAAACACACATATATATATATGTGTGTGTGAATAGGATATATATACAAATTGAGAAGACTGGATTGTAAAATGTATGATTAAATCAGGAAAATTAAGGGACCAGTTCCTTAGTGTTACAAGTTATATACAGTTCAAATGAATTTAGATTGTTGTTAACACTGTATACATATGCATACACGCACAACATAACAAAAGGAATCAACAAAAACAACATATACACACTCTATTTGTAGTAATCTAAATCAAGTTTGAATATAATATACATTCATCCTTCTCTTTCTCTTTCTCTTTCTATATATATAATTATGTACAATCACATATGCATAAATATATAGCTACGGATACATATGTAACTAATTCATATTGAAACTGTTATTTGATAGATTCGTTTGACAATCCTTTTCATCTTGAATCTCTTACTTCTATTGAGTGTTTCTACCTAAAAATTGACAAAACGTATGAGATAAAATGAGAAATAATAGAATAAGTGAGCAACGATAAGAACGGAGTAATGGTAGTGGGTAGAAGACAGTCGAACTACTATATAAAGCACCAATGTTTCCTTTTTATTGATGACTTTTTTTCTATAAAATAGTTTCTCATTCACATGCTCTTTCTCTTTCTGTCTCGTATTTCTCACATACATGTCTTTATGTTAATTTCAGATTTTGTTCTTCAATAGTTTTTTTAATACCCCCCCTATCTTGAACATATTGTAAATTACTGGAGTTATCTTTATTTATTTATTTCTCATTAAGTCCATCAATTTACTTGAGTGATTCATATATATATATATATTGGAATCATACCAGATATATAAGCAAAGATAGTAATCACTAATATCTATACGATGAATATATATCTACCATTTATTATGATGATAATTCTTATCAAGAACACCAATACTACTGACAGTAATAATAGTCAATATAATTCTGTGTAGTGTATTTTCTATAACAGAAAATGAATTTCCTTTACCTAAGGGTCCATCATTTAAAGAATTCGTTTCTTTTTTTCTACTGAATTACTAATATTTGTCGTTATCGTCGTTATTATTGTTATATAACATTCCTTTTATACTGTCAATAGCATTGTGTTGTTATGTGAACCATCTCAGTCTTTTTTAAATAGCAGGTTCATTTTCATGTTAGTGATATATACATACAGACACCCATACACATACATGTATACATGTTTTTACACATATATGTACATGTTTTGACTTGATTCAACCATTTAATTCTTTTATTTAGCAAAGTATATTATCTAGGTTCACAATTTTAACACACGTCCATATATATGCGTACAAAGTCAATTTCAACCATAGTGAATCAGTTTAAAAATATCATTGTTCTTTCACCCTTATTTTCCTACCTCTTTCTTTCTATCTTAGCACACATACTTTTATTCAGTTCAAATGTCAGATTGTTATTTAGTTTGAGAATGATCTCCAACCACTGACCATTCATTCCTGTTAGCTCTATTTTGTTGCTGTTTTTCTTTTCTTACAATAACAAAAAACTACTAAAACAAACGACAACAACAACTAACCAGAGTGACAACGACGTCGATAACAGCAATGATAACAGTGATTAAAACGACCACAATTAACAACGAAGAAAACATAGAATAAGATTCGGAAGAAGAAGAGACGATAAACAAGAGAATTTATGTTGTCAGCATTTTATTTTTTTCCCGTGTATGATATTGTACAAATATTCTCTATCCATTTTTTCTTCTTTTGTTCTTTCATGTTTCGTTTGTTTATTTTATTGCTCAAGAAAATAAACAATATTATGATAGTAATAATGATATTAATAATAATAATATTAATAATAATATGATTATTACTAGTAATGCTACTAATAATCGAGTAGTGGCAACTATGTCATCTATTTGTTTGATCTGTTTGCTGATCATTTTAAACAGGGTGGTGTATATAATTCTGAGTAGAAGTATTCAAGTTATATTTGAAGAGTCTCTGGTAATCTGATGCATCTGATTGTCCATGTATGTATGTATATATGTATGCATGCATGTATGTATGTAAGTATGTATGTATGTATGCGTGTGTGTTAGTGTATTTTTGTACTTGGATTCATTAACAGAATAAGATTAAACTATAACCGGTTATTGTAAGCAAAGATGGATAGTGGCTAGCAGTGGAATCCAGGGCACGCGTTTCGTCCTGTTTGGGACTTGTCAGCTGGATGTATTTGCATCTCAGAGTTGATGTTCACTCTGGGACTTGAACTCAGTGCCGTTCGCTTCAAACGCCATCGCGTTATCCACTTAGCTACTGAGTCCTGATATCCACTTGCTTGTGCAATGGGGTGAAGATTATAACCGGAGATAATTAAAATATGTTATTGATACTGTTTTGATAACATTTTAATTTATATTAATAAGCATTTAACCCTGACAGTATTAGATTGGTATTTCATCATAATTTTGGACTCTTTAACAATATGTAATAGTGACTACACATATGCCATACACATTTTTAAAATCAGTAGTATTTTTATACATTGATTCAAATATTTTGGTGTCCATCATAGCATCTAAAGGTTAGTATTGAAAGGTTACTATTGAGTGGTTCAGAATTAAGTGAAAACAGATTTCAATGACTTGTTAGTTTTCAAATGTCTTTCAATTGACATCAATTGGTAATAGGAAAATCATTTTAAATATAAACAGAAATGTT